GGTGAATCATATACCCAGACTCCATGTCAGATGTCCTCTACACACTGGTTGGGGGTTGGGTCCCCAAGTTCTCAGGCAGATCTGCTGCTATGGCTTTCTTGGTCTGAGGCCATCCGTGCTTCAGCTGTCACAGGCTGGCATTTCAGCCTGGTGACTCTACAATTCTGAGGTCTCCATGGTTGTCCCACTCTTAAGGCTCCACCACACATGGCGCTGATGGGGTTTCTCTGCTGCAACTCCCACCCCATGTTTCTGCTGGGCATTGCTCTAGTGAAGAATCTATGTGGTGAATACACCCCCATGACAGATTTCTTCCTGAACTTGCAGGCTTTTCCATACATCCTTTGAAATCGGGGTAGAGGCTCCCAACCCTCCACAACTCTGGCATTCTGCGAGCCTGGAGATCTAACACCCCGTGGACGCTACCAGTGCTTCTGGCTCGTATTTTCTAAAGCTGCTGGACCAGCCACACCTGGGGCCAATTTAGTCACAACTGGAGCAGCCAAGGCAGCTGGGGTGCTGGTGAGGGGAGCAGCTTCCCAAGGTGGCCCTGGGCAGTGAGCCCAAGGAGGGCACCACACTCAGGCTTGTTCCCCAGCATCATTTTGTCTCCTAGGCCTCTGGGCCTGTGATTGAAGGGTTGGCCCCAGAAGCTTCTGCAATGCCTTCCCCCCCTTCTCTTGATAATCCCTTTCTTTTGTACTAATCCTCTCAGCAAATGATTGTACCATTGTATTTTTCTCCCGAAAATGCTCTCTGTTTCTCTACCACATAACCAGGCTGCAAATTCTCCAAACCTTTACACTACGCTTTCCTTTTAAATTCCGGCTTTATGTCATACCTTGCTTCCATAACTCAACGTAGGCTGTGCTAGTAACCATGCAGGTTCCTGATTGTTTTGCTGCTTAGAAACTTCTTCGGCCAAGTATCCTGATTCCACATCTTTAAGTTCCACATTCCATAAAACTTTTGGGCATGAACAGAATGCAGCCAAGTTTCTTGCCATTTCATAGCGAGGGTGGTCTTTGCCCCAGTTTCCAATAAGTCCCTTCTTATTTACATCTGACACCTCTTAAGAGTGGTCTTTATAGTCCACATTTCCATAAGCATTCTGGTCACCACCATTTAACCAGTCTCTAGAACATTCCAAACTTTCCCTGGTTTTCTTGTCTTCTTCTGAGTCCTCCAATGTCCTCCAAACTTTGTCTAACTCCCCATTTCTCTGGTACTAATTTTCTGTATTAGTCCATTTCTGTTGCTTATAACAAAATACCTGGAATTGGGTAACTTATAATAAAAATATGGCTTACTGTTTCGGATGCCAGGAAATCCAAAGTCCAGGGAACACAGCCGGTGAGGGTCTACTTTGGTGGTGGCCATACAGCAACACAGGGGTCTCACATGGCAGAAAGTGGTGGAGCAGAGAGAGACTAATCTCTCATGTGCTCTTCTTTTACATTTATTTTTTTAATTAATTTTTTTAGTTTTTTTTAACAGATGAATAACAAAATACTCTGTAGAAAGTAGGGCTTCAAATTTTCACAAAAACTGGAGATGTAAAACTTATTAAAATTTACACATTTCATTTTATAGTCCCTACAATTATTTGAAATAGCTCTCTAAAGTCTTTCAGAAGCATGCAAATATCAAATTAGTTTCAATGGAGGAAGAGGAATAAATTTTTCAAAGTAAAATTAATTTCTAAGCAAATCAACAAGTCCACATAATAAAAAGAAATCAAGAACAGAAATTAAATATCTTAGTTTAGCAACATAAATTGCATATAAAATCAATAAAATAGAATATAAACACAATGGCACTTCAAATAGTTCATGGGAAAATAGAATTGAAAAATAATGGAAATCTTTCCATGAACTTTTTTTTTAAAAGACTAAGGTCATAGAAAATACGTTCTCTGATCACATAACAGAAGGAAATTTAGAAAACTCTCAAATGTGTGGAAATTAAACAGCATTCTCCTAAATAAACAATGGAAAAAAGAAAAATCACAGCAAAATTAGAGAATACTTTGAGATAAAGATCAAAGTGCAACATATCAAAATTTATGGGATGCAGGACTCAGGCAGTGCTTAGAGGAAAATTTACACTTGTAAACACCTATATTAAAAATAAGAAAAATCTCAAATCAGTAATGTAAATTTCTACCTTAAGAAAATAGAGAAAGTAGAGCAAACTAAACCAGAAGCAAATAGAATTAGGAAATAAAGATTACAATAGAAATATATGAAATTGGGAATTAAAAAAACAATAGAGAAAAGCAACAAAACCAAAAGTTGATTCTGTAAAAAGATCAGCAAAATTTGCAAACCTTTATCTAGATCGACCAAGATTAAAAGAAGGCAAATTCCTAAAATCAGAAATAAAGTAGGGGCATTATTATATTATCACGATGGCTTTTCGTGGTGCTGCGATTTGGTTTCTTTCTCACTTGCATTTTTGTTCTACCAGTGGATTTTGTTCTTTCCTGTGCATAGAGCAAACTAAACCAGAAGCAAATATAATTAGGAAATAAAGATTACAATAGAAATGTATGAAATTGGGAATTAAAAAAACAATAGAGAAAAGCAACAAAACCAAAAGTTGATTCTGTAAAAAGATCAACAAAATTTGCAAACCTTTATCTAGATCGACCAAGATAAAAAGAAGGCAAATTCCTAAAATCAGAAATAAAGTAGGGGCATTATTATATTATCACGATGGCTTTTCGTGGTGCTGTGATTTGGTTTCTTTCTCACTTGCATTTTTGTTCTACCAGTGGATTTTGTTCTTTCCTGTGCATTCGTGGCAGCGACTATCACTCTTTGGATTCCAGATGCAGGACTTCCTTGTGGATTCCTCGTAGGTCTGGTCATGTGCTGGTAAACATCCCACTGCTGTTGTTTGTCTAGAAAATATACAATTTCTCCCTCGTTTCTGAAGGATCTCCTTGCTGGGTATAGCATTCTTGGCTGGCAGTTTTCTTCTTTTAGTATCTTGAATGTATCATCCCATTTTCTTCTGGCCTGTAGAGTTTCTGTTGAGAAATCTGCTGTTAGTCTAATAGGGGCTCCCTTATGGGCGACTTGAAGCTTTTCTCCTGCTTCTTTTAGATTCTTGCTTCTTCTTTGAGCTTCGTCAGTTTGACTGTAATGTGTCTTGGAAAGGATCTTTTTGGGTTGAATCTATTTGGAGATCTTTGAGCCTCCTGGATCTGAAGGTCTGTGTCTTTCCCTATGCCTGAGGAGTTTTCCATCATTATTTCATTGAATAGGCTTCCCATGCTTTTTCCTTTCTCCTCCCCTTTTGGAACACCCATGATTCAAATGTTTGTGTACTTAAGGTTGTCTGCTAGCTCTCTTAGATTTTCTTCATTTTTTGAAATTTTTCCTTTTCTTTTGTCCACCTGGGTTATTTCTGAAAGATTATCTTCACGATCAGAAATTCTTCCTTCTGCTTGTTCCAGCCTGCTGCTGAAGCTATTGGTTGTATTTTTTATTTCATTGCATGAATCTGTCAGTTTAAAGAGTTCTGCTACATTCTTTTTTAAGATACTAATCTCTTTGTAAATTTCCTCCTTCATATCCTGGATTCTTTTTTGTTTGTTTGTTTAATTATGTTGTCTAACTGAATCTTCTCATTTTACAGTGAGTTTCCATAAGATTTTTGCTCAGAATTCCTTCCCAGTCATTTCAAGGGTTTCCTGCTTTAGAGGGTCTGGTATTTGGGAATTATTATATTCTTTTGGTGGTGTCATATTTTCTTGGATTTTCATATTTCTGGTATCTCTACACTGATGTCCAGTCATCTGGTAGAGCAGTTGCTTCTTCTATTACCAGTCATTTCAAGGGTTTCCTGCTTTAGAGGGTCTGGTATTTGGGAATTATTATATTCTTTTGGTGGTGTCATATTTTCTTGGATTTTCGTATTTCTGGTATCTCTACACTGATGTCCAGTCATCTGGTAGAGCAGTTGCTTCTTCTATTACTCTGGAGTGAGTTTTGAGGAGAGAGATGTCCTCTCCTTTTCCTGGTCTCTGCTGGTGACTCTTCTGTGTCAGTGTAGTCGAGTGTCCAGCAAGCCACCTGAACAGTGGCAGTGGCTGCTGCCATGGCATCAAGCTGCTTTTTCAGCAACTGTGTCTGTGGCGGTAGCTGTGGTGGGCCACCTGCTCAGAAGTGGTGTTTTCAATGTGCTCTCTTCCCTGCTTTTGGGTGGGGGGTATTTCCCTTGGCTCCTTGCCTAGAACCCTGGGCATGCTCTCTTGCCTTCTTCCAGGTGGAGGGGGCTGTGGCCCTTGGCTCCTTCCATGTGCTCTTCTTTTAAAGCCCTCAGAACCGCACCCCTGACCACCACTATTAATCCGTTCCCTATGGCATGGTCCTACAATCTAATCACCTCTTCAAGGCCCACCTTTCAACTATCATGATAGGATTTCTCACCCTTGACAGTTACAGTGGGAATTAGGCTTCTGATATATGAACTTCAGGGGATATAATTCAATCAATCCACAGCAGCACATGTTCTAAAATGAGTGATTTTGTGACTCTGTCTTTCCTTTGAGTGGGTTGTTTGAGGTGGTGAGCCACTGTGACCATTGTAGAGACTGACCTGTAGGTGACTGAGTGTCCACATCACTTCTCTCTTGCCTTGTGCAGCCTTAGGTGTCTAGGGCCCCACCTCACCTGCAAATTCTGTACAGTGTGCAGTAGAAGGAGGAGCTTGGGTCCTTAGCCAGATGCGCTGGGTTTGAATCCTGCTTCCACTGTTTACTGCCTGTGTGGTATTGGCCAAACTCCTTAACCTCACTGTGCCACAGTTTCCTCATTTTAAAGAGGAGGGAGAAACAATGACTACATCATAGAGTCATTGTGAGCACTCAATGACATAACATGCGTAAACACTTAGAAAAGTGCCTGGGACACAGTGAATGGCCAATAACAGTAACCATGGTGGCCAGTAGCATTTTCCTGGACAGGGTTGGAATAATAATAGACACTCACCGTGTTTGGCATAGAAGGAACATCAGCAGCAGGTCCTCCACCGCGGCACCACGCTTTCTCCTTGCTGAGCATCTTGTTGAACTGACGCACTGTGCCGTGCCATGTTGGTTTAAGCTCTGACGCTACTGTGTGATCTTGGATAAGCCGCTTTTCTTCTTTGAGTTTCAGTTTCTTCATCTACAAGGTGAGCAGTGGGGACTGGATTATCTCAAAGGGTGCTTCTAATTTTGACCTTAGGTATGAAGAACCTAAAAGAAATTAAAAGTGATCTGTGCTACATCTCTTAAGATGTTTCTGTGCCAGAGGCTTGTGGCTGACTGGATATCTCTAACCCATAGATATTTTGTAGGGCTTAGAAGACATTTCCTGGAAAAGTTGGCATGGAATGCAACAGTAAATGTTGCAGAGCACAGTGTATCCCTGTGTTTCTCAAAAGTAATGTGCTCAAAAGTCACCTGAGGATCTGGTTAAAATGCAGATCCTGATTCAGCAGGTCTGGATAGGACCAGACATTCTGCATTTCTAACAAACTGCCAGGTTTACCAATGCTATTTGTTAGTGAACCACACTCAGAGAAGCAAGGGGTTTAACATAGTGCTACTCAGTACTCCAGAGAGCACTGCAGCCCCCAGCAGTGGGTGGTGTGCAGAAGGAGTCATGCCTGCACCTTTAAAGGCAACCTCATTTCCTTCCCCTACACTGAGCTTTGCCTGTCCCCAAGCACCCTACTCTATGTCCAATGATGTGCTCCAACCTGTGCAATTAAAGTTCCCAGCCAAGGCCCTAGCTTTGCACAAATGTGGCATGCTGCTTTCTTTCTCTTTAGGGCAGCACTGTCCAGGAAAACTTTCTGTGATGATGAATTGTTCTGTATTTGCACATTCCAGTATGGTACCCACTAGCCATGTGTGGCTCCTGGGCATGTGAAATGTGGCTGCTGAGACAGAGGAACTGAACTCTTAATTTTATTTCATTTTAATTAATATAAATGTAACTAGCCATATCTGGCTATTGGCTACCATATCAGAAAGCACAGCTTCAAAGGCATTTCCATATTGTGGCTCCTGGAAAGAAAATGGACTTTAAATCTTAAAGTCAGATAGCAACACCCCCATCGCTATCTGAATGGCCTTTGGCAAATCACCAAACTCTTGGCATTTTTCTCCTTGGTAAAATGAGGATGTACATACCTAGTAAGCAGAATTGACTTAAGAATTTGAGTTGGTGTGCATGATGTACATGTTCACGGAAAGATTTGTATTGTTTGCTACCTCTGTTTTCCCGTGAACTTTCTGAGATATCGTGGTATATAAAACTCCTGGCACCATGCATGATTCATAGTGGATGTCCCCAAAATAATAATTCTTATTACATGAATCTTGTCAACCACAAAGACTGGCAGGTCCTCAACCTAAATCTGGGAAGCTCTTCTCAGTTCTCTGTGGTCTCCTTCACGATGCTTAGAGCTGTCCTGGCCTCATTCATCAGAAAGGTTTAATGGGAGAAAACACCTGTTTCCCCCGAATTGTGAAATGTCGGTGCCTGAAGTCAGAAAACGGCAACTGGCTACATAAGGTCACACAGCCAGTTAGCGGTATGAATGGTAATCCTCTTTTTTTTTTTTTTCTTTTTGTCTTTTTTCGTGGCCGGCAACGGATCGCAACCCTCAGTGTCGCGCCCTTACCGGACCGGGACCGGCAACGGGATCGCAACCCTCAGCGTTGCCCCCGCACCTCGCTCAGCCAGTGAGCGGCCGGTCCTCTGAGTCCCAGCTCTTGTGTCTCTGTTTTACTGATTAATATTTTAAATTAAAATATTAGTATTTATTAAGTACTGACACTGTGCCAGGCACCACCCCAAATCCTTTACCTAAGCTATCAGTTGCCTTCACAATGGCCCTAAAAATAGAGTGATTAGGATCTCATTTTTCTAGATGAAGAACTAAGTTATCTGCCCCAGGTCGCACAGCTGATTAGTGTAAGAAGGGAGACTGGAATCCAGGTCCGTCCACCTCTGAATCCCCGCCTCTTTGCACATCACTTCCTTTTCATCGAGTGTCGTCTGTGTTGTCTCTTTACCAGCCAGCACTCCCTGGATTCTCCCCTCTGACCCCCCCTCCCTGTTCCCATCCTTGCCGTCTCTTCCTCCTCCTCCCTTGCCCACCCCGATACATGCAGGCTCGCACACAGGCACGAATGCACATACAAAGCTGGCCGGTTAGCTCAGTTGGTAGAGCACGGTGCTGATAACACCAAGGTCAAGGGCTCAGATCCCCATACTGGCCAGCCACCAAAAACAAAACAAATGCATGCACACACAGGTGGCAACCTTTCTCCTGAAAGATGACAAGGAAATCTCCAGGCAAGATCTGGGGGAAGAGTGACCCAGGCAGAGGGAAGGACAAGCACATGGCCCAGGGTAGGGCAAGTGGAGTGTTCCAGGACAGATGGGCAGGGCAGAGTGACTGGAGCATGGTGGGAGAATTGGGATGGACACGCTGGGATGTGGATGCAGGGCTTATGGTGAGGAATCTGGACTTCCTTCCAAGGTCAGTGTGAAGCCACTGGAGGGTTTCGCAGGCAGTGACACAACCTAATCTTTGTGTTTGAGAGATCGTGAGGGACTTCCATGTGGGGAGGAGACAGCGGGGCCAGGGAGACAGGCGAGGAAGCTGCCGCGGTGAGCACTGAGAGGTGGTACGGGGGAAGGAGAGAAGAGGACAAAGGCAGACACATTCAGGAAGAGAAGCTGACGGGGTTACAGCTGGGTTTGATATGAAGTAAGGGAGAAAGCAGAATCACAGCCATCTCCCAGGGTGTTAGGACTGAGAAACCGGGAGAATGTGTTGTCACATGCCTGGTCACAGGGTTCTGGTTTCAACCTTGTCCCCAACCCACTGTGAGAACCACCCCCCACCCCCCGGGACTAAAGGATGTCCCAGGGTCTTCATGGCCCTGCTGGTCCTTCTGTGGTACCCATTGTCATAAAGCCTGCTCTGGTCTGAATGTGCAAACGAGGCAGCTAGATGCATCTGAACGAGAAGCATCTGTTGTGCTGGACTCCAGAGGCTGAGCCCCTCACATCTGCAGGTAGCCAGCCTAACCATGGCCGTTTTATGCAATATCAGCTGGGATTTCTGCTCAAGCTCCCAGGTAAGGAGCTCAGTGTCATCTGGACTTGGCAGCTGAGGCTGGATTGGCAGGGAGAGGGTGAACTGTGAGGGGCTTCTTGGGCTCCTAGACCACAGAGCCCTCCGCAATGACCCTCGATCTGGGGCGGGGCCGGAAATGTGACATTCATCATCAACCCTGAGGCTCAGGAGCCTATCTGAAGATCAGCAAAGTCCTTGCAGCAAACAATTTGAGAGCTGAAGGGGCATGGTGCTAACCCAGTCATTCTTGGACATTGGAGAATATGGGACAGACACTTCGGGCCATGGGCACGACCTGTACAGTCACTCAGAGGTAGGACAGCACAGAATGTCTTTGGAACCTGATGTGCAGACCAATTGGATGGGGTCAGATGGAGTGGGCAGGACCATTTTCCACATCTTCCAAATGAAAACTGGCACGGGTGCCACGCCATAGGACAAGCACAGGGTGCTGTGTGCAAGAGGGGATTCCAAACCGGAACAAATCAAGACGGGCTTCTGCTGCCATACAGCTGAGTTTGGCCTTCACCGTGAAGCACGAGGAGAAACTTGGAAAGCTACTTTTAGTGCATGCGTATGATGGGGAGTAGGAGGCAGGAGGCGGGAAGGGGATGATTCACCTAATCCGTGTTCCAACCTTTGTAAGGGTGCTCCGTCGAAAGCCTGGAGGTACAGTTGGCAAATCAGTTTCCCCATCAGTGTCCACTCAGGCTAATTAATCATTGATGAGAGGCTGCCTGAGCTGAACCCTGAGACTGAGCAAGGGAGGGGGCATCACGGTACCCACGCCAGGCATGCAGCATTGTAGGCTCAGAGAGAGGAGAGATGGGGGAAACGGGCTCGGGAAAGAGTCTACTGCACTGGGACAGGCAGCAAGCGTGAGAGGGGAGGGGGAGGGGCGAGGAAGGGACGGGCATGGCAGAGGGGACCGAAGCAAGACTCAAGACCGGGTAGAAGTGGGAGCTGAACAGGGTAATTCTTCAGCTCTGGAGCCCAGTGAGATCCTGCATGCTACTAACCCTGTCCCCTCTTCAGGTGGCCCAGGAGTCCCTGAACTCATGAAACTGCCANTAAAAATAAGAAAAATCTCAAATCAGTAATGTAAATTTCTACCTTAAGAAAATAGAAAAAGTAGAGCAAACTAAACCAGAAGCAAATATAATTAGGAAATAAAGATTACAATAGAAATGTATGAAATTGGGAATTAAAAAAACAATAGAGAAAAGCAACAAAACCAAAAGTTGATTCTGTAAAAAGATCAACAAAATTTGCAAACCTTTATCTAGATCGACCAAGATAAAAAGAAGGCAAATTCCTAAAATCAGAAATAAAGTAGGGGCATTATTATATTATCACGATGGCTTTTCGTGGTGCTGTGATTTGGTTTCTTTCTCACTTGCATTTTTGTTCTACCAGTGGATTTTGTTCTTTCCTGTGCATTCGTGGCAGCGACTATCACTCTTTGGATTCCAGATGCAGGACTTCCTTGTGGATTCCTCGTAGGTCTGGTCATGTGCTGGTAAACATCCCACTGCTGTTGTTTGTCTAGAAAATATACAATTTCTCCCTCGTTTCTGAAGGATCTCCTTGCTGGGTATAGCATTCTTGGCTGGCAGTTTTCTTCTTTTAGTATCTTGAATGTATCATCCCATTTTCTTCTGGCCTGTAGAGTTTCTGTTGAGAAATCTGCTGTTAGTCTAATAGGGGCTCCCTTATGGGCGACTTGAAGCTTTTCTCCTGCTTCTTTTAGATTCTTGCTTCTTCTTTGAGCTTCGTCAGTTTGACTGTAATGTGTCTTGGAAAGGATCTTTTTGGGTTGAATCTATTTGGAGATCTTTGAGCCTCCTGGATCTGAAGGTCTGTGTCTTTCCCTATGCCTGAGGAGTTTTCCATCATTATTTCATTGAATAGGCTTCCCATGCTTTTTCCTTTCTCCTCCCCTTTTGGAACACCCATGATTCAAATGTTTGTGTACTTAAGGTTGTCTGCTAGCTCTCTTAGATTTTCTTCATTTTTTGAAATGTTTCCTTTTCTTTTGTCCACCTGGGTTATTTCTGAAAGATTATCTTCACGATCAGAAATTCTTCCTTCTGCTTGTTCCAGCCTGCTGCTGAAGCTATTGGTTGTATTTTTTATTTCATTGCATGAATCTGTCAGTTTAAAGAGTTCTGCTACATTCTTTTTTAAGATACTAATCTCTTTGTAAATTTCCTCCTTCATATCCTGGATTCTTTTTTGTTTGTTTGTTTAATTATGTTGTCTAACTGAATCTTCTCATTTTACAGTGAGTTTCCATAAGATTTTTGCTCAGAATTCCTTCCCAGTCATTTCAAGGGTTTCCTGCTTTAGAGGGTCTGGTATTTGGGAATTATTATATTCTTTTGGTGGTGTCATATTTTCTTGGATTTTCGTATTTCTGGTATCTCTACACTGATGTCCAGTCATCTGGTAGAGCAGTTGCTTCTTCTATTACTCTGGAGTGAGTTTTGAGGAGAGAGATGTCCTCTCCTTTTCCTGGTCTCTGCTGGTGACTCTTCTGTGTCAGTGTAGTCGAGTGTCCAGCAAGCCACCTGAACAGTGGCAGTGGCTGCTGCCATGGCATCAAGCTGCTTTTTCAGCAACTGTGTCTGTGGCGGTAGCTGTGGTGGGCCACCTGCTCAGAAGTGGTGTTTTCAATGTGCTCTCTTCCCTGCTTTTGGGTGGGGGGTATTTCCCTTGGCTCCTTGCCTAGAACCCTGGGCATGCTCTCTTGCCTTCTTCCAGGTGGAGGGGGCTGTGGCCCTTGGCTCCTTCCATGTGCTCTTCTTTTAAAGCCCTCAGAACCGCACCCCTGACCACCACTATTAATCCGTTCCCTATGGCATGGTCCTACAATCTAATCACCTCTTCAAGGCCCACCTTTCAACTATCATGATAGGATTTCTCACCCTTGACAGTTACAGTGGGAATTAGGCTTCTGATATATGAACTTCAGGGGATATAATTCAATCAATCCACAGCAGCACATGTTCTAAAATGAGTGATTTTGTGACTCTGTCTTTCCTTTGAGTGGGTTGTTTGAGGTGGTGAGCCACTGTGACCATTGTAGAGACTGACCTGTAGGTGACTGAGTGTCCACATCACTTCTCTCTTGCCTTGTGCAGCCTCAGGTGTCTAGGGCCCCACCTCACCTGCAAATTCTGTACAGTGTGCAGTAGAAGGAGGAGCTTGGGTCCTTAGCCAGATGCGCTGGGTTTGAATCCTGCTTCCACTGTTTACTGCCTGTGTGGTATTGGCCAAACTCCTTAACCTCACTGTGCCACAGTTTCCTCATTTTAAAGAGGAGGGAGAAACAATGACTACATCATAGAGTCATTGTGAGCACTCAATGACATAACATGCGTAAACACTTAGAAAAGTGCCTGGGACACAGTGAATGGCCAATAACAGTAACCATGGTGGCCAGTAGCATTTTCCTGGACAGGGTTGGAATAATAATAGACACTCACCGTGTTTGGCATAGAAGGAACATCAGCAGCAGGTCCTCCACCGCGGCACCACGCTTTCTCCTTGCTGAGCATCTTGTTGAACTGACGCACTGTGCCGTGCCATGTTGGTTTAAGCTCTGACGCTACTGTGTGATCTTGGATAAGCCGCTTTTCTTCTTTGAGTTTCAGTTTCTTCATCTACAAGGTGAGCAGTGGGGACTGGATTATCTCAAAGGGTGCTTCTAATTTTGACCTTAGGTATGAAGAACCTAAAAGAAATTAAAAGTGATCTGTGCTACATCTCTTAAGATGTTTCTGTGCCAGAGGCTTGTGGCTGACTGGATATCTCTAACCCATAGATATTTTGTAGGGCTTAGAAGACATTTCCTGGAAAAGTTGGCATGGAATGCAACAGTAAATGTTGCAGAGCACAGTGTATCCCTGTGTTTCTCAAAAGTAATGTGCTCAAAAGTCACCTGAGGATCTGGTTAAAATGCAGATCCTGATTCAGCAGGTCTGGATAGGACCAGACATTCTGCATTTCTAACAAACTGCCAGGTTTACCAATGCTATTTGTTAGTGAACCACACTCAGAGAAGCAAGGGGTTTAACATAGTGCTACTCAGTACTCCAGAGAGCACTGCAGCCCCCAGCAGTGGGTGGTGTGCAGAAGGAGTCATGCCTGCACCTTTAAAGGCAACCTCATTTCCTTCCCCTACACTGAGCTTTGCCTGTCCCCAAGCACCCTACTCTATGTCCAATGATGTGCTCCAACCTGTGCAATTAAAGTTCCCAGCCAAGGCCCTAGCTTTGCACAAATGTGGCATGCTGCTTTCTTTCTCTTTAGGGCAGCACTGTCCAGGAAAACTTTCTGTGATGATGAATTGTTCTGTATTTGCACATTCCAGTATGGTACCCACTAGCCATGTGTGGCTCCTGGGCATGTGAAATGTGGCTGCTGAGACAGAGGAACTGAACTCTTAATTTTATTTCATTTTAATTAATATAAATGTAACTAGCCATATCTGGCTATTGGCTACCATATCAGAAAGCACAGCTTCAAAGGCATTTCCATATTGTGGCTCCTGGAAAGAAAATGGACTTTAAATCTTAAAGTCAGATAGCAACACCCCCATCGCTATCTGAATGGCCTTTGGCAAATCACCAAACTCTTGGCATTTTTCTCCTTGGTAAAATGAGGATGTACATACCTAGTAAGCAGAATTGACTTAAGAATTTGAGTTGGTGTGCATGATGTACATGTTCACGGAAAGATTTGTATTGTTTGCTACCTCTGTTTTCCCGTGAACTTTCTGAGATATCGTGGTATATAAAACTCCTGGCACCATGCATGATTCATAGTGGATGTCCCCAAAATAATAATTCTTATTACATGAATCTTGTCAACCACAAAGACTGGCAGGTCCTCAACCTAAATCTGGGAAGCTCTTCTCAGTTCTCTGTGGTCTCCTTCACGATGCTTAGAGCTGTCCTGGCCTCATTCATCAGAAAGGTTTAATGGGAGAAAACACCTGTTTCCCCCGAATTGTGAAATGTCGGTGCCTGAAGTCAGAAAACGGCAACTGGCTACATAAGGTCACACAGCCAGTTAGCGGTATGAATGGTAATCCTCTTTTTTTTTTTTTTCTTTTTGTCTTTTTTCGTGGCCAGCAACGGATCGCAACCCTCAGTGTCACGCCCGTACCGGACCGGGACCGGCAACGGGATCGCAACCCTCAGCGTTGCCCCCGCACCTCGCTCAGCCAGTGAGCGGCCGGTCCTCTGAGTCCCAGCTCTTGTGTCTCTGTTTTACTGATTAATATTTTAAATTAAAATATTAGTATTTATTAAGTACTGACACTGTGCCAGGCACCACCCCAAATCCTTTACCTAAGCTATCAGTTGCCTTCACAATGGCCCTAAAAATAGAGTGATTAGGATCTCATTTTTCTAGATGAAGAACTAAGTTATCTGCCCCAGGTCGCACAGCTGATTAGTGTAAGAAGGGAGACTGGAATCCAGGTCCGTCCACCTCTGAATCCCCGCCTCTTTGCACATCACTTCCTTTTCATCGAGTGTCGTCTGTGTTGTCTCTTTACCAGCCAGCACTCCCTGGATTCTCCCCTCTGACCCCCCCTCCCTGTTCCCATCCTTGCCGTCTCTTCCTCCTCCTCCCTTGCCCACCCCGATACATGCAGGCTCGCACACAGGCACGAATGCACATACAAAGCTGGCCGGTTAGCTCAGTTGGTAGAGCACGGTGCTGATAACACCAAGGTCAAGGGCTCAGATCCCCATACTGGCCAGCCACCAAAAACAAAACAAATGCATGCACACACAGGTGGCAACCTTTCTCCTGAAAGATGACAAGGAAATCTCCAGGCAAGATCTGGGGGAAGAGTGACCCAGGCAGAGGGAAGGACAAGCACATGGCCCAGGGTAGGGCAAGTGGAGTGTTCCAGGACAGATGGGCAGGGCAGAGTGACTGGAGCATGGTGGGAGAATTGGGATGGACACGCTGGGATGTGGATGCAGGGCTTATGGTGAGGAATCTGGACTTCCTTCCAAGGTCAGTGTGAAGCCACTGGAGGGTTTCGCAGGCAGTGACACAACCTAATCTTTGTGTTTGAGAGATCGTGAGGGACTTCCATGTGGGGAGGAGACAGCGGGGCCAGGGAGACAGGCGAGGAAGCTGCCGCGGTGAGCACTGAGAGGTGGTACGGGGGAAGGAGAGAAGAGGACAAAGGCAGACACATTCAGGAAGAGAAGCTGACGGGGTTACAGCTGGGTTTGATATGAAGTAAGGGAGAAAGCAGAATCACAGCCATCTCCCAGGGTGTTAGGACTGAAAAACCGGGAGAATGTGTTGTCACATGCCTGGTCACAGGGTTCTGGTTTCAACCTTGTCCCCAACCCACTGTGAGAACCACCCCCCACCCCCCGGGACTAAAGGATGTCCCAGGGTCTTCATGGCCCTGCTGGTCCTTCTGTGGTACCCATTGTCATAAAGCCTGCTCTGGTCTGAATGTGCAAACGAGGCAGCTAGATGCATCTGAACGAGAAGCATCTGTTGTGCTGGACTCCAGAGGCTGAGCCCCTCACATCTGCAGGTAGCCAGCCTAACCATGGCCGTTTTATGCAATATCAGCTGGGATTTCTGCTCAAGCTCCCAGGTAAGGAGCTCAGTGTCATCTGGACTTGGCAGCTGAGGCTGGATTGGCAGGGAGAGGGTGAACTGTGAGGGGCTTCTTGGGCTCCTAGACCACAGAGCCCTCCGCAATGACCCTCGATCTGGGGCGGGGCCGGAAATGTGACATTCATCATCAACCCTGAGGCTCAGGAGCCTATCTGAAGATCAGCAAAGTCCTTGCAGCAAACAATTTGAGAGCTGAAGGGGCATGGTGCTAACCCAGTCATTCTTGGACATTGGAGAATATGGGACAGACACTTCGGGCCATGGGCACGACCTGTACAGTCACTCAGAGGTAGGACAGCACAGAATGTCTTTGGAACCTGATGTGCAGACCAATTGGATGGGGTCAGATGGAGTGGGCAGGACCATTTTCCACATCTTCCAAATGAAAACTGGCACGGGTGCCACACCATAGGACAAGCACAGGGTGCTGTGTGCAAGAGGGGATTCCAAACCGGATCAAATCAAGACGGGCTTCTGCTGCCATACAGCTGAGTTTGGCCTTCACCGTGAAGCACAAGGAGAAACTTGGAAAGCTACTTTAGTGCATGCGTATGATGGGGAGTGGGAGGCAGGAGGCGGGAAGGGGATGATTCACCTAATCCGTGTTCCAACCTTTGTAAGGGTGCTCCGTCGAAAGCCTGGAGGTACATTTGGCAAGTCAGTTTCCCCATCAGTGTCCACTCAGGCTAATTAATCATTGATGAGAGGCTGCCTGAGCTGAACCCTGAGACTGAGCAAGGGAGGGGGCATCACGGTACCCACGCCAGGCATGCAGCATTGTAGGCTCAGAGAGAGGAGAGATGGGGGAAACGGGCTCGGGAAAGAGTCTACTGCACTGGGACAGGCAGCAAGCGTGAGAGGGGAGGGGGAGGGGCGAGGAAGGGACGGGCATGGCAGAGGGGACCGAAGCAAGACTCAAGACCGGGTAGAAGTGGGAGCTGAACAGGGTAATTCTTCAGCCCTGGAGCCCAGTGAGATCCTGCATGCTACTAACCCTGTCCCCTCTTCAGGTGGCCCAGGAGTCCCTGAACTCATGAAACTGCCAAGATGGGCAGCCACCAATGCTCAGGGAGGAAGGGCTTTGGGTTAATACTTCCTCTCCCATGCTGGCTTTTCAAGGAACACGGAGGTCATACAGTGCCACAGTTTATAAAATGGAGGATACATGCCTAAATCCACGGAGACCTGCTTGTATGATACATAGCTGTTAGAGATCTAGAAGACTTTCTGCAGACGTACTCTGTCAACCTGACTGCAGCTCAAGTTATTTCATGCGAGCTCCAGCCTGCTGCATAGGCTGTCAGAGCAGAGTGAGAACTGAGCTCCGCCAGGTGGGCAACGATGCGGAAAGAGCGCTGACCAGCGGTCAGGAGACCTGGATTCTGAGGCCAGCAAGTCTCAGGGTTGAAGGAAACCGAGATCGTTCAGTCCATTAATCCCTCTGTCCATGACCACCCAGAATCACCCTACACGTCTTTAGGGACAGGGAGCGCACTACCTCTGCAGCACCTGGTGTCCATCATCAGACAGTCGTAACTCTTGGACGTTCCTTTTCATATAAAGCACAAACCCATCTTCAGCTTCTAACCGTTAGTCCTAGTACTGCCTTTTAGTGAGCTCCATCTTCATAAGCGTCAAGTTGCAGAAATATGGAGGCAGCTACTGCTCCCACTCCCACCACACCCCTGTTTCTAGATCAGAAGCCCAGTTTCTGGAGCCACCCTCCTGGAACAGGAGAGGTGACTCTGCCCCCACAGAGGCTCCCCTCTGACAGATCTCCTTGGTCACAATTTCCCACACAGTGGGCCTTGCTAACCATGAGCATGATGACATGCAGCCCAACCACTAGCAGGGGTATGGTGAGGTCCAATGAGACCGGGAGCCCTCCGCAGCCAGGGAAACTCGATTGCACAGGTGCCCCGGTGCAGCATGGAATTCCCCAGTGAGTCAGTCATTGATTGGATTACCAGGACAGGTTGAAGTCACTTAGAAGCCCTAGGCC